AAACCAAAAAAAATTAATGACTTAGCTCACATTAGGCATAATCTCTCAAGTGGTTAAACAATTCAAATGCATGAATTCATTTCAATATGGTGGATAATATTCGCCCTTCCATATTTCTCTCTACCGGTGAAATTTTTTATGTAGAAGATAAAAGTTGAGAATGTTGATGGAGATATGACAATTAATTAGAAAAACAGTCTCCTATCTATAAACACTTTAATATCGCCATTTTTTTCCAAAATATGCCGTTACCAAAAATTTCCTTTCAACGTCCAAATGAGGTACGCCCCGATTGGGTCTTTGTCGCCTGAATTCGCCTTTTAACGCTCAATAACTCTCATTTAAGCGCATTTTTTTTTTTGCCGCTAACAAATACATTGGGGCACGCACCAGTTTACTTTTTGAAATAATAGATTGGGGATATTTTTGTAATATTTTAAAAATATATTATTTATGGAAAAAATCCCATACTTACATAATTAGTTGTTATATCAATGATTTGTTTCCTACTGAGATGACATAAAAGAGAGAACAAACATCATAAAAGAGTAGGGGGCGAAACCACTAGAATCAATAGGGTGTAGATATTTGTTATGATTTATGAGATGATCACACCAAAAGCCATGCTTATCATTGTTGTTGCTTATTGAGATAAATAAAAGAAATAAAGAACAAGCATCATAAAAGAACGGCGATGCAACTATTAGCGGTTCGGTTTTTTTTTTCTTCCAAGAAATGTCAAGAAAGAAAAACTAAACAATCTACCCAAAACCCTCCCAAACCCAGAGGCGGAGCTAGGTGGGGCCTCGCCCCCCCCCCCCCCCCAGAATTTCGACGTTACTTACGAAATCTCGAAAAATAACGGAAAATTACGTATAAACTATATTTTTTTGTATAAGTAGACTTGGGTGCAAAATTGATGCAAGATAGTAAGGATGGTCGAGTGGCAGAGATGCAGAGCTTGTTTCATTTGGGCGCAGGTTTGAATCCAACTTGTTGCATATTATCTTGTTATTTTGCTATTCCATAACCTTGAAACTTGTCTTTTTTTTCTTCCGTTGGTCAACTTGCCATTTTCATAGTGAACTAAACCAATAAAATTATCAATTCTTAAACTCTCATATTATAAGGGTTCCTTTTGATTATAGATTAATTTGTTTACCTTGATATTTAAAGGTATCTTCTGATTATTGAATTAATTTTGTACAAGAATATTAACATACAATCATTTTCATTTATGAAAAAAATTAAACAAAACATGTTACATATTGAAGCGAATTATTAATTTTTTGTTTGTTGTTTAATTGCTCTATTAATATGAATTTAACTTGTTTTAACCATGTCAACTTTCATATTTTCTTTTACAAGTCCTATATTTCAAAGAAATTGATCAAATTTTAAATCATTATGTTTAAGTCTTCTTTTGGTTATACAATGAATTTTTTTTAAATATAATATTGACGATTATTCATGTTTTATTTATAAATATACTAAAAATTTTAAACATTTTATTTTTCCATGATGATAAACCAAATAACTCCGGCCCCCGAGACTCAAATCCTAGCTCCGCCCGGCCCAAACCAATACATCAGAAAAGCCACTCTACAAAGTCGAAGGAACCGATGGGCTTATTGTAGTTTTTGAAATTTAAAACCACTACTGAAAATCAGACCAAACATAGGCAGAACAGAATTAATAGGATGTAGTTGTCAAAAAAAATCAATAGGATATAGATATTTGTAATTTTTATTTTTTGGTGCATTATGATTACTTTTGAAGAGACTATTTATTTTTGGCAAAATACACTTTCATAGCCAAAACTATTCGCGTTGTGACAATAATAGCCACTTTTTAAAAAATGCACAGATATAGCCACTTTTTCAAACTTGCTTGACAAATTTAGCCTTTTTTTTTTACAAACTTTAACGTCGTTACGAACGCCGTTAGTAACCTCCACGTGTCGCTGAGGTGGATGCCATCTGGACGACACATCATCGCCAATTGAACGTCTTTGTGCCACCTAGATGCCACGTCATATAAAAAATATTTTTAACAAAAAATCATTAATTTTATAAAGAAATCAAATAAAAAATTTTAGAAAGAAAGAAATATATATTTTATTTCCTCTTTCTCTCTCTATTCTTTCATTCCAATCCTTCCCCAAATCCCTTTCTCATCGGCGCTGCTTCTCTTCCGCCTTCAATCTTCATCAGCAGATCCAAAACCATAACTCCTCTCTTCAAATCCCTCTCTTTCCTCATTAATTACTCGATTCCGCCATGATGGGGGCGATGCATCTCCACTGCATCCTAAACCGAATACAGATGAGTGGGTGGGGGAGACCAAGTTGGAAGGCACCAACGAATCGATTTGGAGCTCCGGCTGCTGCGAGAGAGATAAGGAAGAGAGAATCAGCAGATCCAAAATCAACGACGACATCTCCGTCACGGTGGAGAAATCTAGCAACCGATTTTGATGCCCCAATTGCTCACAAACCTAGCAACCGCCTCTCTCTTGGTCGATGAAATAGGAAGATTTTAAGAGGAGCTTGAAATTGCCGACGAAAATCACGTCGGTCGAAGTTGGGGATTTTGATGGCGGTGGCACAATCGTTAGGGATTAGGGTTCATCGGCGTCGGGAATAAGAGTTGGAATCGGTGTCGTGCTGGTGGAGAATATAGGATTCGGAATCGGAAAAATGGGGATATGGGTGGAGTAGATCCGGCGGGGAACCGTCCTCTCTCGATTCATACCATATAACTAGTGCAGAGGCGGGGGAAAGCGGTCGCCGGGGCCGGAGAGTAGAAGTAGTTTATCAGCGGTGGTGGCGGAGAGAAGAGACGAAGATGACAGAAGTGGGATTTCCGGTGCGGAGGAATTGATGGAGTTGGAGGAGCTGAAAAGAGACGGAAGCTGCATCGTTGAGGGTGAAAAGAGATTTGGAGATGCGGCATTGTTGAGGGCACTAATGCCTGTGCTCATCTTCGCTTTCATTTTCTTTATTTTTTTTTTGTTTTTCAGTTAATTAAAATAATAATATTTCTAACTTGGAAAAGTCAAGAGGAAAAATTGTCACGTGAGTATAAACCGTTAGTCCAGTCAGCACGGATGATGTTTCCGTTAAAGTTTGGGACGGAATGGCTATATCAGTGTATTTTTCAAAAAGTGGCTATTATTGTCACAACGCGAATAGTTATGGCTATGAAAGTGTATTTTGCCTTTATTTTTTTACCACTTTAAGTATGTTTAACTTCATGATTCTTGTCAAAAAATTTTCTCAATTTCACCTTGAAATGCTTGTCAATTAATATTGAATGATTCTTTAGAAAATCTAATTTAATCTTTTGCCTTGTCGATATAAATTTGCTTAAAATATTAAATTAGTGTATAAATTATAAACTATAAAGATCGACAAAAAAAATCTATAAAAGCAAATCCCTTGTCCACTTCCACTCTTAGCTCTCTGATCCAGCTCCATTGCAGCACACAAAAAATAATAATCCTAAACTAATTTCCCATTGGCATAAAAAAAAATGCAACAATATTAATGAAGTGTTGAGGAGTATTATTAGTCTGCATAAGTATTTGATGGAAAAGGTAGTAGGCCAGGCCACATGCATTCATCACCCACTTCTTTGTTATTTCTCTAAATTTCTGCTTGCTACTGAATCACGTTGAGAAAAATCTGACATTTTCATGACTGAATTGAAAAATAAAATCAAATTAAATGGAAGCCAATGTTTATCAGGCGCAGCGGGGAAAAAAACGACAATGTTTATCAAGCATAGACTAGGGTGCTAACCATGGTTCGAAAAGAAGGCTTAACCTTACGCTTAGTCACGCCTAGACGTAAGGCAATGCCAAAATGCCTTGCTTAGAGATTTTGTACTTAATTAGGTGTTGGAAACACTTCAACGGAGTAAGATGACGACTAGTGTCTCCTATGCATTGTTAGATGGAGCTAGATAGTCCATATGAAAGAATGAAAATAACATTATTTACAAAATCAATCTTCTAAATATATAGTGCCCATCCGTTGAGAAAAATCTGACATTTTCATGACTGAATTGAAAAATAAAATCAAATAAAATGGAAGCCAATGTTTATCAGGCACAACAAGAAAAACGACAATGTTTATCAGGCACAGGCTAGAGTGCTAACCATGGTTCGAAAAGGCGGCTTAACCTTACGCCTAGTCACGCCAAGACGTAAGGCCATGGCAAAACACCTTGCTTAGAGATTTTGTGCTTAATTAGGTGCTGGAAACACTTCAATGGAGTAAGGTGATGACTAGTGTCTCCTATGCATTATTAGATGGAGCTAGACAGTCCATATGAAAGAATGTAAATAACATTATTTACAAAATCAATTTTCTATGTCAATATTTTCAATAGCTCAAGAACTTTGTGAGCTATTGAACTATGATCCTATGAATTTGTGAGTTGTTTATTTATCGTTAAGTGTTAAGCAAGTTATTAATCATTTTAACTGAAATGAGAAACCACTGTAAATTTTAGGGATAATACCACTGGAAAACCCAAACTATCAAGAAAGTGTCATTTGTGTCCCGAACTATTCAATATTCCATTTATGTCCCAACATATGATAGTTGTGTGTCATTTATGTCCTGACGATTTCGTTGACCGTTATAGATAAGGGTCGACAAAACGGTAGTCAAATTTAACATTGAATTTTGTTGACATTGCAGCCACGTAGATGTCACATCATTGACACCTCATATTTTTTATTTTAAATATTTTAAATCTAAATTTAAATATTTTTAAGTGACATAGAAAAATAAATAAAATTAGATTTAATCATTTTAAAATAAAAATAATATTAAATATTTCATATCAGATGTCACGTCAACGCTAACTAGATTTTCTGTTAAATGTAAACTCGGTCAACATTAACGGAAAAATAGTTCAGGACATAAATGTCATATTGAATATATAGTTTGGGACACAAGTGACACTTTTTTGATAATTCGGGTTTCCTAGTGGTATTTGCTCTTAATTTTATTTCATAAATCATGTCGTGCAAATAGATATTTTTCTTCCAATACCTAGCACAGTAGCACGCTTAGACTAAAAACGTATGAACACCTTTTGAACCTTGGTGCTAACATCCAATTTACTAAAATTGTGCCAACACAGATTCAGTCAATACTAACATGATTTTTTTATTACAAGAGGTTAACCATAACCATTCAATAAGCGAAATAGTATCCCTCCCCACTTGCCGCTCGGGTAGTCACGGGACAGTGAGATGTATTGAAGCGAGGAATAGAGAACGGCCCTTGTAACACATCGTTGGCAATAATCCTATAGGCTGCCTCCGTGAGATGATGATCGTCCCAATTGATAAACGTCGACGGATCAGCGCAAGCTGTGGTGCCCGGGACTCCACAAAGCAGAGACTCGTTGTAGTTGTACGGCCCTCCCCCTCCACAGCACGCTACCAACGAAGCACTGAACCCTAAAAAAATTCCATCACGACACAACATAATTTAATATCCCCTATTCGTAATAATCCTACTTTTCGTAATGATTTCACGCGTGACGATTCACAACATGTGATCAAGAATTTATTACTCACCTCAATCTCGACCAATTATTATCCGATTTATCCAATCGAGACTTATCGCTTATAAGAAAAGAAAAAATAATCAAATGTACGATTTCAAAGAGGGTACTGTTACGTACCAAATTCGTCAGGGTGTAGATGGAGGCGCATGACTGAGTTATAGTAGTCTGCATACATGATGTTGGCATGGGGATAAACTTTCTGCAACCGAACTACTTCCTCTTGGAGAAGATCGTTGTGGTGTTGGGCAAAATTGTTGAATTGAACAAGGCAACCGGTCAAGGGATCATAGTCTTCTTTGTTAGGGCTCCAGAATTTGGCCAAGTAACCAGCATGGCATCCAAGCGGGAAGTTCCCTGGAACAAGGATTGTTACTGCCCCTAATTCGACCATCTCCTGAGGGAAATTAATTTACTGAAAGTTAGTCTCTTGTTGAAGCAATTCGATCGGTCAATTTTGGATCAATCATTATTTAGTTACCTGGATTGCGTTGCCAATTTCGGCAACGACGTATGGTACTAACTCTGTTATTTGCTCAACGGCAACATTTTCAAAGTATGCTCTGTTGTAATCAATCCCTCCGATTTCTCCCATTATAATTAGAGATTTTCCGAGGTACATCTTACATTCTGCAAAAAGCCACTTGTTAAAATGATGGTTGTAAGAAAATAATGCATAAGATATTCTTTTTTTTTATGGTTGAATTTCTTATTTATTGTTCTACTCTGAGATAAGAAAGTTTGCCTCACCATCTTATTTTCGTTAAATTTTTTGAAATCACTCCCATGTTTTAAATTTTAACCATCATGAGAAAACATGTTGACTACGTAGGTTATGGTAAAAAATTCAAATATACGTAGAGTACAAAACCTAATTTATTATAACGGACGAATATCCAGAATGGTAGTTGATAAATTTTTTCAATCATACAAAATTTTAGTGTTCAATACCTCATTCGTTTTAATTAAAATTTCCAAATCAATTGAGTAAAAAAACCACAACAAAAATTACTGTACGAAATGCTTACATTTTGGTATTTTGTGGAGCAAAACAATTTCATGCCAACTTGCCATTATCATACTATAATATGAAAGTGGTATGACGATACCGCATTCTTACCACTATCATATTATGATATTATAACGATCATAATAAAAAAAAATACAATAATTGTATGATGTATTGTGCAGTCTCACAATAGTAGTAAAATAAAGCTATCACAATGATATGATAGCATTAATTTTTAGATATAGCAAAAAAATTGTTCCTTTTACGCATTTTTAAATTTTGAGATAAAAAATAATATGATCCTATTAAAAAACTAGGATTAGAAAAACAAATTCCAAATGGGGTAAATAGACCCATGAGTTTGGACTTTGGACTAGGCAAGAGAAAATTTAGTTTTATGATGAAAAATGAGGGGAAATGTGGACTCGTTATTTTATTGATTATCTAATAATAAGCATGTGCAAAGTTTATGAGGAATAAACTACTTTTATCATAGTCATTTGGATTAAATTTTAAAGGAGCATATATATGTTGCTTTGATTTAAGTTGATTTTAACTCTTTTGCATAAAATAAATGGGATTAATTAAACTCATGCAAGATGACATTCATTCTAGAAAAAATCAATCATACTTTAATTCTCGTTTTACATGAGACGTAACATGCATATAAGTCCAACGTAACAGTTTTACGTATAGCATAAAAAAGCTTCAAACATAAGGCAATGTTATTTTTCATTCCGTGTCAAATGGAAAGGGGAAAGTAAGCAATCCAAAGTAATATCAGTTAGTTTTGGCGGTTTAATTATTTGTCCAAAATTAATCATTAATTATCTCTTCCATCATAAAAAATGATAAATAAGTAATTGTCTCTTCCATCATAAAAATGATAAATAATTATCTTCTCATATTCTCCTAATATTGTTCCTAACCCATGTTGAAAGCAAGTTACATTCCTAATGCAACTTTAAAAAAGGGAAGGCATTTTATAACATATATATTGGAATTTTAAAAACAATATAACAACTCATTTATAAATGGTGGATAAGATCTTATTATTATTATTATTATTATTATTATTATTATTATTATTATTATTATTATTATTATATAAGTAGATAAGATTGTATTGGGATTGGGAAGAAAGTATTGAGAAAAAACTTAGTGCTATGAATAGTATAGATATTAGATACCAGATGGTGAGAAACAGAGTGTCGGCAATAAATTCCTGAATCTTTTGAGTTCATCGCCCAACGACACGTTGGTGTGCGTATTGAAGATCCCTCTCTCCGCAAGGAACCGGAAATCAAGGGCCGTCGCGCCTCCCTCCGCCAAGTTTGCCCCGAACCGGAAGTTGCTGCTCTTCAGCTCTCCCGGAAACGGCGTCAGCAGAGGAAGCCCCAATTTCTCAGCTGATTCAGACCCAAATCCCAAAACAAAAACATTATATTACACACTGAGTTCAATTTCAATATACATATGCAGAGCAAGGTATAATTAAGAAAACCCGCTGGAAGAGCTAGCGTTAAGTGAAATATATATATTACCGATGAAGTCGACGATGAGACGCCCGTTGCAGCAGCGACCAGTCGGGCGACCGAAGTAAGTTTCGCCGTTTGGTAGGGAGCAACAGTGAGGGCACTTACCCAGCAGCATCTGGTTGCCGGTGTCGCTTACGGAGTCGCCGAAGCTGAACAGTGACGTGAAGCATGGTCCGATACCACCGTCGGCTGCTTCTGCTGCCGTCGCCGACGAGTTTGAATAGTCGGCGGATGCGGACAGGAGGATCAGGAAGAGAAGAGCAGGGCTGACCAGAGAACTGATAGTGGTCCGAATTGCCATTTTCAGTAATGAATAAATTGGGAAGCTGAAGCTGCGATAAGTGATTTTGGGAATTTTGCTTCCACTGGGCTTTGCATTGCAGAGAGAGCAGGATTCTTTATCCAAGTGGATCGGACATTAGCTGTCTAACCCTTCTCCACCCAGCCCCTACACAGATCTGAACCGGTCAGGCGGCCACTTGACCGCAATAATTTTAGATCTATTGTTTAAATAAATTATATAAAATTTAGATTTTTCTTTTTATCAGAGATTGTCAGTAGATTTTATCTATAATAATGACCCATTGTTGAAAGTTCTTTATTATTGATTTACGTACTCGATTGAGAATTCTCATCACTTCTCCTTTAATTTATGGATTCTCAATTCTTAATCAATATGATATTGTACCAGCTAAGTAGTGTATAAAGCCGTTTAGTGATATTCTGAATAGGATTTTAGTTGTGTGACTACAACTACAATATGGTTTGATTTCCTTTCACAAAATGGGAATAATCAATTGACTCATCTTGAAACTATGAAAATGAATTATATTAAATTTAGTTTTTTATCAAAGATTTTCAATTAATTTTTTTATCAATAGTGTTTATCTATATAATGAAAGTGGTTTATATTTCTATCATACTTTTACCAAAAGTCTCTTCATCATGATATTCTACCCATTGTTAAAAGTTGTTTATAATTGATTTACGTACTCTATTAATGGTATTATTTCTCATCACTTCTCATTATGGATTCTCAATGCTTATCTAATACGACATCGTACCAATTAGGTAGCGTATAAAGCTGTGTAATGAGATACTGAATAAGAGTTCATTTGTGCGACTACAACTATAATATAATCTGGCTTAATGACAAGTTTTGTCACCCGAATTGGTATAAAATACCACGTTAGTCAATCAAATTTATTTATTTCATTCATGGTCACTTAAATTAGGGATTTTTCCAATAATAGCACCTATTAAAAAAATTACAAAAATAGCATCCAGCCCACAAAATTTACAAAACTAGCACCATTTTTATCAAACCGCACCTCCAAGGTGCGTTTTATATTTAAACTGCACCCTCCAGGTGCGTTTTATGTATAAACCGCACCTTGGATGTGCGTTTTGCGCCACGTCAGACTGGGAACCGCACCAGGAAGGTGCGGTCTGGGTTTCCTCGGGAGCGGGCTTGGAGACCACAGGATCCAATGACGATCCAGCGGCGGACCGCTTGCCACCTCAGCGATCCGCGCCATGGATCGCACACCGCAGCTGCAGGGAGCGGTCAGCGCCTCGGGAAAAGCATACCGAATCGGGAGGGCGCGGTTTCTGTGAGTGCTAAATTACCAGACCACCCCTGGAGGGTGCGGTCTGAGTAGTAGAAATACCCCCTCCCCCCCCCCTCTCATTTCTTCACACCACAACCAATTCTTCACTCTCTCTCTAAAATTATCTCTCCAACCCCTTCCCTCCCAAAAGTCTAGGAAATAGTGGTCTGTTGGTTGCGGCTAAGTCCGATCTGCCATCAGAAAACATTTCTTTGGTTTTTCCCTCAAAACCCCCGACTTTCGCGAAAAAAATGGATGAGTGATTCCAAGGAGCGGGAGTTTATTATGATGAATTTCAAGCTGTACGTACTCATTATTTTGGTCAATTTTTGTTTTTGTTATAAGTTTTTTAATTAATCTAAGTACTAACCTTGTTGTTATTCTCTCGTAGGTTGGGGACGACGTGAATATATACAACCAACGGTACTATTTGGATCAAGGACCTATTGATCCAACCAACTTGTACGACCAACCCAACCATCGTTCAAGCGATTTTTTGAAAGATCACTCGGTACATATAATTCTTCATCATTTATCTTTCTTTTATTTTGCTAATGTACTTAGTGGAATATAAAATAAATTTGAAATAATTTAATCGTATTGGTTGTTTTCAATAATTTAATCGAATACATAGCGCCACTTACTTCGACTCTTTATAAAGAGATGCACGTCTAAGGAAACGGAGTTTTAAGCGATTATCATGATCCTCCCATTACCTGGAAAAATCGGGTATTAAGAGATCCTCGGATCCCCCCTTTTTCTGTCAAAAAGGCTGCGTTTCTAAGAAGATGTATACCTCTTCTAAGAGTCTAACGAGTGTTGCATTGTATTCGATTAAATTATTTAAAACAACCAATACGATTAAATTAATTACCAAACAAGCAATACGATTTATGTTTCTGTGTACCCAAATAAATTTTATTAAAATCAAATATTTGAATATGTATGTATCTCTTTAAATTATTATTCATTTAGAATGTTATTTAGGTCAATTAATTTAGTATGTTTGTTTTATGATGATATGTATATATCTTGGAAAAAATTGCAAATTACTTAAATTTGATTGTTAATAATATAATTATAATAGATTTATGGTCGAAATTAAATCATTAATTTTAAAAAATTTAGTTATAAGACTAAACTGTTACTAATATATCATAAATAATTTTAATTATGGTCGAAATCAAATCATTAATTTTAATTCATTTAGTTATAAGACTAAACTGTTACTAATATATCATAAATAACGTTGAAATTTTTGCTATGAGGCACAACAAATACCCCGCTACAGGGGTACGACCAATGTGCTCCCATGGAACCCAGTTATCTTGCCCTTTCTCAAAAGGGCACGGTTGGAGTTGATTAGGCATTTTGTAGGCATAAAAGTCGATCGCCAACTCATCACCGCATTGGTGGAGAGATGGAGAAAGGAGACACATTGTTTCAACTTTCGCGAAAGAGAGTGCACCATCACACTCAAGGACGTCGCCATCCTAACTCATCTTCCCATCGACGGCAAAGCGGCGTGTGTGAGTGATCATCCCCCTGAGGATCGTGACGGTATGACCGGTTGGCAGTATTTCATCCAAAGTGTTTTGGGGGTGAAAGTACCAACCCAGGGGAGCGTTGATGCGACGGATCGCTTACCACCATTGAGGAAAGACCAAGTATCAATCTCATAGGCATGATAGGAGGAGTATCAATCTCATTTTAGGGACCTTCACGATCCTGAAAAAAATGGGGGGCCCCTAACCGAGGAAAGTCCGAAGCTGGAGAAGGAAAGATATGCTCGTGTCTATCTCATAGGCATGATAGGACGAGTGTTCTTCTCCAAAAAAATCGAGCAATTTAATTAGCTGTGGATGGCTTAGGATCCTCCTAGGTAGTTGGGATGCGATGGGGGAGTTGAGCTGGGCATCCGCTTGCCTAGCTAATATCTACCACCATTTGTGCAATGCATCTCAAAGCTGTGAGGGAGGTCGGCGGCGCAATGTTCATCGTCCAATTTTTGGCTTGGGAGCATCTGCCATGGATTGCACCGCTCCCATGTCCCGACAGGAATTTGGGTCCCGATCATCCCCTAAGACTCGAAGCTTATGGTTGTAGGTAAATTTCTCATACCCCATCATGATTTTAATAACCCAATTTTCCTTATGTTTTAGCTTATTTTAGCTTATTGTATTTTTATTATTGTCTTATTAATAAGGTGGGTTGGAGCCTCAACACGCAACAACCTTTCCCAACACAAGTTGGTAGAGTATCGGAGGAGGCTAGAGCGACTTTGGGAAGGAGAGGTAACTAGAATACTTCTAAGTGCTATAACTTTTTTTCATGGAGTACATGTATTTTTCCAATCGGATTTAACTTAAGTTACTATTTTTTTATAGATCAAATTCAATCCATACCCGGCGAACATCGTTCATTAGCATTTACAACAATTCCCCGAGAATATCGGGTAATGGTGCACGAGGGTCCCTCTCATTTGTTTAGGGACCATGGAGTGGCACCTGCCGGATCAATGTCTTCGTTAGTTTGGTCGAGAGTAGTGCATTCCGTTGGAGGTCCCCGAGAGTCAAAGGGCGTTTCACCACCGAGATGGTCGACAAGGTACTCACGATTGGCCCACGAAGTTGGCGGAAATGATCGCGGTATGGGAGAACTGATAACTTCAGGATATTGTCACTCCAATAGTGTGGGTCGAATGGGGTATCATGACCCATACATGGATAGATATCGGCAAACATCGGTTCGGTACGTGACTCCGGAGGGTGCGGCCGATGGTGCATTGGTAGGTATATTCCGTCTAATAAGATTAAATTTATTGCTTGTTTCATTCTGTCACATCATTAGTCTTATCTTGCTAACCTTTTTATGTGATTTAGCCTGATGGGATCGAGCGGATCAAAGAGTTGACCCATGGGAAACATGAAATGGGACATGAAGATGTGAGCTTCATCAAGAGGATGACAAACAGTCTGCTTGTCTGTATCAGAGCACAGGGTCGTGATCATCGTAGATACCCACCCATGCCCGCACCGGTGCCACCTCCGGTACAAGTTGATGTCCCCCACCACCATATGAGAGAAAGAAAAGCAAGAAGGTTCGGGAAAGACCTCATGTGCCCGAGATAAGGCCGTTGGAGGCGTGAAGAGTTCCGACCCGCTTGGTTGTGGCACACGGTGGCGGTCCGAGATCACAACATGATCCCCGTTCGAGCCACTCCCAAGAAACCCGCTCGAGCTTGTCCCAAAATCCCCGCCCGAGCCACTCCCAATAGTTCTAAGTACTTGGCTTTCTCTATTTTGATCGTGTTAACTTAAGGCTTGAGTGTTAATTGAGGGTTATTTGCCAAACACGAAAGTTCCAAGCATCATAGCTCTAACTCTGACAATAATTGAAAACATACATAACAAGTACCAACAACTAAAAACCGCAAACTATGTCGCATTAGCTGAGTCCCCCACATCAGGACTCGGATTTTGAGGACAAATCGGACCTGGACAACTTCGTTTATCATGCCCTGGAACTCTGCATACTGAACATCGTCTTGGGCCTCGTGGTGGTCTTCCACTTTGATCCATTTCGTTCTGAATTCTCTTTTTCCTCGGTCGACTTGGTTCACACCTCTGTCCGAACGGCGGGATTATCAACTTTCCTGAGTACACCGGCCAATAAGCTTCATCAGGCAATGCACGAAAACTCCGTCCATAGCAATTTTTGAGTGAGTCGATATTGAAGAATGGACTGACGAAGTGACAGGGGTCTTTGCTCTTGTTTTTAATT